ATTTTTGTGTCAATTATTAATAGGAGGAAGTTCCAGATAACAATGGCCACATTTCATTTGCTACGCATTAAAATAATTTTAAAAAAACTAAAGATAAACTCTAATTATTTTGCTCATAAATTAGGCTTTGCAAGTACAGAGAAAGCCATTGTGCCTGTGTAATTAATTTCTTATACTATTTGTGAGTACATTTCATAATTATTCAAATTTCCAAAAGGGCTGAAACACTTCCTTTAGTGGAGAGAGTGATTTTCTACACTTGACTTCCTGTTATAATCAAGGTCTTTCTAACCTGATAACTGAAGGTTACGGCTCGGTGAATAATTCAGTAAGGCACGAAAACTCTGGCGGCATGGAGAGCACTAATCTTATATAGTCACAGTAAAGGATATTAGGGAACAATTGCCAAAAGTGACACATCTAATAGAGAAAGATTACACTGCGCTACATCAATTTGATTTGAATTGAATACATTTCACGAGCATTGTCTGCTGTGCCGCCCGGACATAACGCAAGAACACAAGGTGTCAGAGAAGGCCAGGAACAGTCGGCCATTCTCAGACTAAACCCACATTTATGAAAGTCCTCAAAGGTAGCGCGCCGCTTTGATGAGAGAATCCAGCATTTCAGCCCGTCCTAAATGGCTTCACCACTTCCTTTTTCCAAAGCAATACTGCGGTTTAATCAGGTAAGACATGCAGGCGATGAAAAAAGGTGGAAATCATTCAAGTTCCGAATGCGTCCCTTCAATGCTGGGAGCCACAGGGTTTCTACACCTTTGCCTGCTTTCAGCAAAAAATTCTGTTGATCTGGAGGGGAATTATGGGTAAAATGTGTGGCTGAAAAATGATGGGGTGCAATCTTTACCCTTAATCTCTCATTGAGTGGCAAGCTGGTCCCCAGCCTGAAAGACGCCATTAATTTTAAACTGTACTTACTTACATTACCAAGTGTATGTGTGTAGTGACTTTTTTTCTCTCTCTCTTTCCTTTGCTTGAACCTTGATCCTGAAAAGGGTACAATGTCAGCCTACCCTGAATTCAAGCCCACCGCAGCTAATGGACCACCATTCATTCATTTTAAATGGAGAGCAGAGTTAATCAAAAATACTCCCTGATGGCACAAATAAATGAACACGCTATCAACAAATGCTTTATAAAATAACCCAGCGTGGAACACTTAAGCTACGAGTCTTGAAGGCAGCTGCGATTCTGATCCACGTTTGCATAAGTTATAAAATAAAAGATCAAGTGGATTTGTGGAGACTCTTGCTAGAAATTCCTCACAATAAGAACCATCACTACAGTGGCTGTACTTACAATGCGCCTTTAATGACACCTAGTGGCCAATGTTTGTAATTTAATTTCATGGGGATTGGTGCTTCAGATGTGTACAACTGCTTTTTTAACTTGTCATATATAATGACTAGCCAGAATGATTACTTTATAGATCAATAAAAAAAATACAAATACCAGTAAAAAATAATAATAATAGTAATAGTGAAACTAAAACACATTAGTGTCCATTTAGTTGCTAGTGGAAAACTGCAATGATTTTACAGTGCAATGACTTTGACAAAAGTAAAATTGTTATTAGTAAAACTGGAACCACAGATTCCCGCATGATTCAATGAGGGGGGGGATGCTATTTGTAACCAGCAATTTAATAGTTAGGATAGTGACTAGTAGCTGCAAAATACTAGAATTGAATAAATATAATATTTCCTAGTTACTAGTAGAGTAAGTATAAAAGGCAATTGGAAAAATTACACTGAAAAAGATACCATTCCCTATATTCGGTTGCTTGTCAGCAATTAAACAAACAATACCAAACTGAACATAGTTAAAGGAATAAATGTTAAAACGTGTTGCTATAGAAACATATTATATCATTTCAGACATGTTTAACGTATATGACCAGAACAAAGCGTTAAGGCAAACACTGTAAACATACGGCGAGTTCAGGATCCACAGAAAAAAGATACAATAACAAACAGTGGGCTAACTTACCTTCGCGGTCTTTCCACAGTGAAACTGAAGAAAGCGTTATTTTTTGGTAACTTCATCTTCTTACTTCAACATTTATCCGACTATGATATACATTTGTGTCTTTGTGCCTAAATGCTAACTAAATAATCGAGTAGGCCTCAAATAGGCCACTTCCCGCGTGAAATTTAATGCCATGTGCCAGCGAAGTTATTAAGAATAAAACAAACTTAATTTTTAATCAATTCATATTTGTATGTTATATATTTACCAAATTTCTATATATTTTTCTTTGTTTGTTTAAGAAAATAAAATAAATTGCTTTTGCGATTAGTGGACCAAGCTGTCGTGTGAGGCCCCGCCCACAACTAACACCTGAGCCGTTTTCTATTTGGTTCACTATACACAGTGTTTGACCAACTTTTTTAGAATTATACAACTCTATCATTAAGTCTCCTTTAAAAATATATATTATATAATTCAGTATCAACATTAATAGGTCTATTATTAAATTAATTCACATTATTACAGTAAAAAAAAATAATGTATTCAGCTACAAGATTTATCGAACAAATTAATAAAACAGATTTTTTTTATTTTTTAATAAACAGACAAAAAAATCTTGGGATTAATTATTAAATAAGTGAATACAATTTTGTTTAATTTTGTTGTTGATGTTTTGTTTTTTGGTTGGTTTGTTGGAAATCACTATCCTAAAATATTTTTTCTAAAACTTATAGCTACAAAAATCTACTCATTCTAAAAAATATGATATAAAAAAATGTACATGAAACCATCCCCAAATCTCAATTTTCTCTCATATAAAAGATTTAGAAGAGCTGTAGACCTTGCTAAGTCAAAGCAGGGGTTTAAAGTGCAGCACTGCAACAGAAGCAGTCTCTAGTCTGAAAGTGTCATTATGCAAACAAATGATGGTTCTACACGAGAAAAGGGAGGAAAATTCCTCCTATTCAGCTTGTCGGCGATGTGGATTACAATCACTTTGAGTATCCTCGCTGTCAGGAATGTCAAGGTGTAGTGTGTGAGAGTTTCCTCCACCACAAAGGTGAAGAACAGATATGCTTATTCCATCCACTCCACATTGCTCAGAGGCTTACCGAGCCTTAATACCACACCGTCACACAAAGCTGAACGCCTCAGATGAGATGTGTGCCTTGAATACCAAGATAATGTTTTGTATACAAATAAGTGCATTCAGTCTTGTGTGCTTGTTCATTAAGGATCACTGGATGCTCAGCCTTCTCTCGTCAAGCTTGCCGTTTAACCCCACGCGAGCTGCCACTCCATTATGGAGTTGATTGGAGGGTTTGCAATGTTTATCTTATACCTTGCTTGCTCTCCATTTCCACTTCCTCCCAGCTCTCCCGCAGTATAATAGACCGCTACTATTGACGGAATCATCCGACTCATCTGCCCCCAGGCCTTGTGCACTTACACCTAGTGATATCAGATTGCTTTCTGGAAAACCATCCAAACAGGGCACACTCCAAAACTTATTACTGCTTCCCATGAACGCCGTGGTATTGACAACATGGACTTCACCTGCACCAAATGCTGTTGTTTAGATGCAGAAAATAGCCTGATTTGATGTGTTTTCGAGTGAGCCTACTGTTCTTGCTCTTTCTCCGTCTGTCTGTCTCTCTTTTGGAGGCAGAGATTCACGATGTGTCAGAGAGCAGCACAGTTTCACCCACCTCAGTTATGTTATGAGCATCTGCTTTCTCGTCTCAGCTTCTTCGTTTTGTTGTAATTGCATACGTTCCATATATAGCTCACAGTGGCTTTTCACTTTCAGGGTTTGCTTTAGAAAACTGACAAAAGTTGCAAAAAGGGATGTACTGTATATGCATTAGGTCTCATCTGTCTTTTTATGCTTCGTATTTATACGGCTGCCACATGAATCACCTGTGTGAATGTACTGTTGCCCTTAGCATGCAGGGTCCATTGACAGTTGCCAGGATATGTATGACCTTCTGATTGTAATGCAAGTGACATTTTGATGTGTATATGGAGAAAAAAAACTTTTAAAATGCAATGTGCCAGAATAGCATGAAATACAACAAGAAACACTTTTTGACGTTAAAAAATTAAAACATTCTGATTTTACTAAGTAGCCATTTAGCAGATGCTTTTATGCAACATTTGCCGGGGCAACCTTGATTTATCTGTAAACTAAAATAAAAACATTTATACACTTTCAAAATATTTCTATTTCAAATAAACATTGATCTTTTGATTTTTCTATTCATCAAAGAATTATAGAAAAGTAAGAAAAAAGAAAAACAAAAGTATCAGTTTCCACAACAAATATTAAGCAGCACAAGTGTTAATATTGCAGAACAAGTAATAATATTTTACAGTATTATTGTTTTTACTGTATTTCCGATCCAATAAATGCACTCTTGAATTAAAATGTAATGTCAGTGACAGTGAACTTTCAGCTAAGCATTAGCTTCTTAACTTTAGCTTTATTTTATTATTTTTTTCATTTATTATTTTAATATTGTACTTTTCTTTATTTCACAAAATCATACTAATTGCTGGATCTACCCTGTTGAAGTCCCTTGTTCTGCTCAATAAAACTCTGAATAAAACTGTTAATACCTTCATAAATGTAGCACTTTTATAGCATGACTTACATTTATCTTGCAGTATATAAAAATGCTTAAGTCATAAATAGTTATTAAATATACAACACAACATAAAAACCTCAGGCACTAAGAGCATTTATTGTGTTTAAGGGCACATTTTCAAGCAAAAAATTACATTTCTTTGCATAGTATAATTTTGTTAATAAATTAAATCTTGACTTTTTATTAATACAAAAAATGTTGATAAGTCTCTTGTAACTGGCAATAATTTGTTATTAAAAACGAATATTGTCTACATTTACTAGGTTACCAGTGGTAGGCTGATACAAGGAGAAATACATTTTTAATGAAATACTTTTTTCAATTAGTGGTGATCCACTTAGACAATAAATTTTGAATTTTTTAAATCTTTCAATCAGATAAATATGTTGTGCTGGATGTGGGGAAGGGCGTAACTCACACAGTTTACACATATACTGTACAAACACACAGGGCCTGTGGCAGAGAGGAGACTCAAAGGGGAGGCTCGGGAGAGGGTCTGTTTGGCATGGGCTGTGGTGGGAGCAGGAGAACAGGGCTGCCGGGGGGCTTGTAGGCCTCCTGGTTCTGTACTGAAGTGGGAGATGGAATGGGGGTATCTGGGGATGCTGAAGAAACAGAAACGTAAAAAAAAATTATCAAAAGCTACATAAACCTATAAAAAGCTATAAAACGCACTTTGTGAAACTTGAAATATAATGAGCAAATGATTCAAATCAGGTTATTATCATAAAGTAAAACTAAGCCTAAACCGCTTCACTGATTCATTTTTATTTCTCACCCATGTCCGATGTCTGGTATTTAAACCACTTACTTTATTTAGGGACAGATAAATAAAAGGCTATGTCTTACCCATCTGCTGTGAGTGTGCAGGTCCTGGGATGGAGCTAATGACTATGGTCTGTCCCATTATTGGAATCTGAGGGTGACCATTGTGATGTAAATGAGGTTGCTCCGTGGTTAGACCTGCAAAAATAAATTAATAACTAAATCACAGAGGTGGTAATGTGGTATTTGCCTACACACAATTCCGACATCTAAAACAAAAAGTTAAAAATATTTTTAAAAAGAATGCTACAATAATGATTTATATTTTGAACAGTTAGGTCAGATTTGGTTGGGAAATTTCATGCTCACCTAATTCATCTGTGCCTGCTTACTTATCCAAAAGTAAAAAAACAAAAAAAAGGTCTGCCTACTATACTGTGGCATATATACTGCTTCCAGATTTCAAGTCTCAATGTAATGTAAATAGAATGCAGATATTTTTGCAGGTCAAAACACAGAAATGAGCATTTTAGCACTTTCGGTTCCACTGTCCTGAAGTCAATGGGTTTTTTGAATGGCTTTCTGGTTAAATGCCTGAAATAAGGTTAACGCAAGCTCACGGTATTTTCACATTTTGTTCAACAACATAAAAGACATCTTTTACTTTTCTGGAAAAAGGACTACAATGTCATTACACCATTACGAGCTCTTGCAAACTATTCTAACTCAAAACTTCATGGAAAATGTTTTCTAAATAAAGACTGAAAGAAATGTCGGAAGCTTAATTGTGTAGTTTATAGGCTTATAGTTTAGCTTTTTACTTCTGCCGATTGTATTTAGGCTTCAAAATTCAGCTGTGTTCATTTGTGAAGATTATCATGAGGATCAAAATGTGGATCAAATGTGTAAAAATCCTCAACTTTTGTTAGTCACAGAGAGAATTTTTCTGTAACAATCCAAAAGCCAGTGGTAAAATCCAATTGGTTTTTGTTTAGGGAACCAGGGTGATGCAAACTTTTGGCTTGGCCTACAAAAATCTGTCAACATCCACTGATTGTTGATTAGATTGAGATAGATAATAATGATGTTAGCCTTAGCAAGCACAAGTCAAGACTAATAGGCCTACCCTAGTCAAATATGGTAGCAAATGCATTATTTTGCCTCATCATTTTACATTATTTTGCCGTATAATACACAGTATTATAAGAAAACGTTTAAGCAGACTTGCTTCAGAATAAAGTACTTGCTTTCACCTAGTTTAAAAAAATGATCATGAAGCATTTTCCCGCTCCAAGAGCCCCTGCAATTCAATGCTTCACCTCATACTCACCCCCAAGAAGCATCTCCTGCAGCAGGTTATCTATCTTGGCAAGACCGAAAAGCTTGATAAACTGTAGCTGCTCAATCATCTGCCAGGTGATGCTTTGCAGAGTAGGAAGAAGCAGCAAAAGCTCCCCGAATCGCCCACGCGAGTCATACTGCCGGTCATTAATGTAGTCTTCCAGACTCATTTGAACCTGATAGCGCATCGCCTTGATCTTAGAAGGATCTCTTAAGCTTTTGGCGTCTAGATGTTAAAAAACAGAGATAGTAACATGTATGGCTCTGTTTCAGGATTGATACTGGGTGTGAAATGAATGCTCTGTTTCATTCGTTATACCAGGGTCGAAGAACACAATGGCCTTTAGAGCTGCATATTCATTGTCGTCAATTTGGATGTCCTGGAAGGATAGAACCAGTTCTTCCAATACTCGGTTAGATACGCGACCTATTTCTGGCTCAGGGCAGTTTCGATGGACAACGCAGCCATTTCCTGCATGGAAAATGGAAATCTGTCTATTTACAGTATAATTATGTTGAAAGGTGAAAATAACTATTAGAAGTTACCTAGAAGCAAGAGATCTTTGTATGGCATTGACCTTTTAGCCACACCAAGCAGAAGATGCTCTCCGGCATGAGCTCGTAATAAACTAACCTGGAAGAAAAACGAGGCCTGGTTTAACATGTTTCTGTAAACCACAGTTAAAATGAATATCTGCTATACTACAGTGAAATATAAAAATAAATAAATAAATAAATAAATGTATTAATTAAAAAAACTAAACATATTAATTTATAAATAAAAATGCATTTATTTGATCAAAAATACAGCAAAAACATTCATGTAATATTATAAATGTTATTAAAATTAAAAACAATATTTTAATATATTTTAAAATTTTAATTTATTCCTGTGAAGGCAAAGCTGAATTTTCAGCAGCCTTTATGCCAGTTTTCAGTATTAATAATTAAATATTATTTTCTCAGAACATTTTAAATGGAATTAGAAAAAGTTTAAACATGGTGTAGTTACAGTCTCTACCAGCAGGTGCCTTGCTTACTAGTTGAATGCATGTGTCCATAAATTAACATTAAAATAAAAATTCAGTATAATGCAAAATGAGTAATTAATTTTGGCCCGGAAGAAAAAGACTGCAAATTTTAAATGCATAAAAAAAACGATGCAAAATTTTTTTTTGCCAACTTTTAGTAATACACTAGCATTCTCTATATAGTAAAATACCTCAAAGCTAACAGACATGGAGTAAAGGATATTTTTTCCATTCTTTAAGGTAATTTTTTTAAATATTGGAAGGTTTGCATGTTCAGTAACAATAAATGCAAGGGGAAAATCTGAAATTTAGAGCAACACAGACAGCATGCTAAATGGAGGCTAAACTGAGTCAGCCATGTGAATAGCAAATATTGAGCTTCACTGAACGGCCCTGCAATTTAACCCAAGGGCCTCCCCAATTAGCACAGCCAGTGTTGCTTTCCAACGGCCATTACCTGGTCATCAAGTGGCAATTCGCCGAAGGCTGGGATGTATTTAGCCCACTCTACCAGAACAAGCAGCTGTTGCTTCATAGATTCACAGACGTCACTGATAGTGGCTGATTTTTTCTCTGAAACATCAGCAGGGCCCATTGGGCTGGCGGCGTTGATCTGCTGGGAGACAAACGAGAGAAGAACCGAATTTACCATGTCCTCTAAAAATGCTTTTGCACAGGCTATTACCTCGCTCTCAGAGTAAATTCACGCAGGTACTCATGCAGATAATTAGAAATGTTGATGACACAGACTGATGCTTAAAGAACGCAGCGCTCAGTTGTTATTTATCTCTCTTTGTCATTAATGACTACTGAGCAGAACTTCATCAGAGTTACTGTAATGAAACCTCTCTTCCTTCTTTAATCAACCCTGTTGGTTAATTTTTGTCTTTGGTGACTATTTATCTCTAGCATAATGCATTAAAGCCATACACCTTTGCTTTAATTGACAATCACAGCAATAATTTATTGCTCAAAAGCAATAAATGTTACTGCCGCAGATACCGTAACTATATGCATGTTTTTATTTTCCGTATCTCTGCCCTTCTCTACAGATATTCTTTCTCTTTCTTTTTGTGTGTGTGTGTGTGAGAGAGAGAGTGTTTCGATTAACCTTGATAAGACAGTTTACCTGCTGCGAGAGAGCTTCAGCGTGAGCCAGGGCCGTGATTGGCGGCAGGTCATGTGAGTCTTGTATGGTCCTCCTCGAGCTGATACGGTCCCGTTCATTTTGCACAGCTGAAAACAAGCACAAACAATTTTGCTGATTAGTGAGCTAATAACAGTTAAGAAATATTACTGATTAGCCAAGATGATGGGTGTGTTTCTCAAGCTTATTTACAGAAAATCTCACACATTGCCAAGACATTGCCAAATTCATTGTGATGTATTTTAACATCATTAAACGTAAAACACAGACTAAAATGACCTTTTTGCCACACCTTCCAATGAGGAACACATTGGGAAATTTTACAAGCCATAAATATTTCCTACTGGACATGTTACTGGGTATTTCACATTATTTTTAAATATTTTTATACAGTACAGTTTTTATTTTTGAGTATTTGTTCAAGTCTTTTCTTTATGAGAATGGAACTTTTGTAACCTTTTTCGAAATTAAATTGCTGATGTGTCATTTTTCTCATATCTAGACTTTTGACATTGGTTCAAACTTGAGAAGATGCCTACTGAACAAAGAGCTTAAACCAGCCTAAGATTGTTTGTTGGTCTTAACCAGTCTCCTAGCCTGGTTTTCAATCTAGTAAACACCAGCTGCATCACCAAGGTAAACCATCTTAAACCAGCTAAGACCAATAAACCATCTAAGGCTGGATTTTCAGAAGGAATAGGAAACAATGGTGAGCAAATTAAAAATAATACATGACTGGCGTGCAAAACCCTGCCTAAGCTAGAGGTAAAACTTTAACTGACCGCAGTCCTGAACAACGTGTACGCACGGAAAGTGAGGTGGAGAGCACATGATCACCCATAATAAAAGTCTAAGCCAAGGTTATACAGCCAATAAACTAAACATCCTTGTGTAATCAGGGCAAGTTTTATGGCATCATCCATTTTACTCTCTCGAGTTCCCTCTTCCTTGTTACTCCATAAGCTATCTGTTCGAAACTGTGGGAAAAGGGAGTATTTGTGGGGGAAAAGTATACATATAAAATGTTTACCTTCTTTCTTCATTCCAGCTCGAAAGCATTTGTGAAGTCTGCAGAAACGACACTGGTTCCTTTTGTCTTTATCAACAACGCATTGACGATTAAACCTGCTCAAAAGTAAAAAATAAATAAATAAAGACCATCTCTTACGAATAAAACTTTATCTGGTTTATAATGTATCTGGTTATGATTTTAATTTCACTAAACAAATCCAGTTGCTTAATTGATTCTTTATTGATTCAGTTTCTGTTGATTTTTATGTGGACATGGCAGAAGTAGTGGCTTATGGTCCAGCGAATTGGTCAAATAGTGATTCATTAGACTAATTCAAACTGATAACTCACAAGTTTGAGACTGATTCATGAGTATTTTTGACTGATTCATTATAGAAACTGAGGCACTCAACCGTGAAACTGATAACTCACAAGTTCAAGACTGATTCCTGAGTCATACTGAATGATTCATCAGAAAGAATTGGGTCATAAAAGGCACTCAATTATGAATCAGACTCATGCTTAATGTATACTTATGTTTGAAAAAATGTTCTTTAAAAAAACAGCTCTTGTTTCCCATCCTATAGCGTTGTTATAGTTAACTAAAACTAAAACTATTGACAAATATTTTTTACTGTAATAAAGATTCAATTCAAATATTACACAAACATTTTTTAAATAATAATAATAAAAGTGAAATAAGTTTTATGCATTAAAATGACTAAAACTGAATAACAAATGAAGAGTTTAGTTCCAAAACGCGATAAATGCCATTTTTTTTTTAAATTGAGTTTCCGCCAAAATCAGTATTGTATCTGGTCGGTATTGAAAAGTAAATTTTTACTTTTACGCAAAATGCGATATCCGCCGAGTTATTCTGTCATGTTTTCTTGCTTTTTTTCCAGACCGCGACAAAAGCCAGTCTCCCTTCTCTGCAGAATGCGATATATCAACGCGATAAATGCCTTTTTTTTTTTAAATTGAGTTTCCGCCAAAATCAGTATTGTATCTGGTCGGTATTGAAAAGTAAATTTTTACTTTTACGCAAAATGCGATATCCGCCGAGTTATTCTGTCATGTTTTCTTGCTTTTTTTCCAGACCGCGACAAAAGCCAGTCTCCCTTCTCTGCAGAATGCGATATATCCGCTCAACCAATCACAGCGCACCATTCCACGCACTGTGGAAGATAGTAATGGCGGCGCTTTGAACACACCCGGCATCCTAGTTTTATTTTGTACTTTGTGATAAACAAACAAGCTTAGGGCTGCCCGATAAATCGCATGTGATTGTCATGCGCATCTGGTCAGTAAAGCCGGTTCTGTGATTAATAGTAAATCTACATCACGTGCTTTCAGATGGAGCGGCATTTAATACACAGTTCTTGTTCATGATGAAATTTTCTTTTATTGCTGTAATTAATTTATAGCATTAACAAGATGACCCGTTGAATTCATTTTGGGATCGATGACTGATTGAATTTATTTTTAGTCCAGTGCCTGTATATAAGATTAGTATTGATGAAGTTCAGAGGCTGTCATATGTGGATTAACCATGTTGTGTATTTTCAACTTTTCAACAGTGAAAAATAACTTTTATATTGATTCAATGGATTTATTGCATTTTGGAAAAAAAAAAACGTGTCATGGATTCATGGATTTATGGGGAAAAAAATAATAAAATTTTATAATAAATCTTTGAAAATCAAAATCTGGATTTGAATTTTTTATGTTATTATAACCTAAAGATGCTATGTGAAAGTTTGAAACAGAAACGTCTCGGTTACGTATGTAACCCTCGTTCCCTGAAGGAGGGAACGGAGACGTCACGTCGGAGGACCGACGAAATTGGGATCTCGCTTAGAGGGACCAATCTACTTCGAGTGTAAATCATTATAGAAACTGAGGCACTCAACCGTGAAACTGATAACTCACAAGTTCAAGACTGATTCCTGAGTCATACTGAATGATTCATCAGAAAGAATTGGGTCATAAAAGGCACTCAATTATGAATCAGACTCATGCTTAATGTATACTTATGTTTGAAAAAATGTTCTTTAAAAAAACAGCTCTTGTTTCCCATCCTATAGCGTTGTTATAGTTAACTAAAACTAAAACTATTGACAAATATTTTTTACTGTAATAAAGATTCAATTCAAATATTACACAAACATTTTTTAAATAATAATAATAAAAGTGAAATAAGTTTTATGCATTAAAATGACTAAAACTGAATAACAAATGAAGAGTTTAGTTCCAAAACGCGATAAATGCCATTTTTTTTTTAAATTGAGTTTCCGCCAAAATCAGTATTGTATCTGGTCGGTATTGAAAAGTAAATTTTTACTTTTACGCAAAATGCGATATCCGCCGAGTTATTCTGTCATGTTTTCTTGCTTTTTTTTTTCCAGACCGAGACAAAAGCCAGTCTCCCTTCTCTGCAGAATGCGATATATCCGCTCAACCAATCACAGCGCACCATTCCACGCACTGTGGAAGATAGTAATGGCGGCGCTTTGAACACACCCGGCATCCTAGTTTTATTTTGTACTTTGTGATAAACAAACAAGCTTAGGGCTGCCCGATAAATCGCATGTGATTGTCATGCGCATCTGGTCAGTAAAGCCGGTTCTGTGATTAATAGTAAATCTACATCACGTGCTTTCAGATGGAGCGGCATTTAATACACAGAGCCGTAGTTCACTGCTATATCGCGTTCATAATCGCAGATGAGTCGCATTTGATTATGAACGCGATATTGCGAAGCTTGTCAGCTTTATTTATGCCATTAATGTTTTTGTTAATACAGTGTATAGCACTAATTTATTGCATTTTGGAAAAAAAAAAACGTGTCATGGATTTATTGCATTTTGGGGAAAAATTATACAATTTTATAATAAATCTTTGAAAATCCAAATCTGGATTTGAATTTTTTATGTTATTATAACCTAAAGATACTATGTGAAAGTTTGAAACAGAAAATAGTGGTTTTCATCTTGCCACTTTCTTGGTAAAGAAAACACATTTTTACTCAAATTAATCTAAATGGATTTATAGCGTTTTGGAACCAAACTCTTCAAATAAACTAATAAAGTACATAAATTAAAATATAAATATTTTTTAAAACTAATACTAAAACTAAACTCAAATGAAAATGAAAACAGGAAATAAAAAATAAAAACATTCAAACTACTAATAAATACCATAACAGTACATAAATAATACTACAATAAACACTGAACACATTTTTCACCACATAAAAATTATTTTCATTACAAAAACATCTCGGTTGGATGAGTGCGATGTACCTGCAGGAGTAGACATGACTCTTCCTGATGCTCCGGCGGAAGAATCCTTTGCAGCCATCACAGCTGGAGGCGCCATAATGTTTACCTGTGGCTTTATCGCCACAGATTGAGCAGTTGGAGATCACGCCATTTTCTCCTTGACTGATGTTGGGCTCTGTCGGCATGTTTTCTGTGAAAAACAACAGTCAAAACTGAAATCATCACACATAATGTAACTGGCTGCCACCTGAACACTTTGGTTTGAGTTGCAACAACAGTTCAGTCAAGTGAGGGCTTGATGATTCACTTGGGTAGCTCATTCATAAAAGGCTTTAGATTATTTAAAACAGAGAATCATGTCCATTGTACATCCAGAACGTTAAATAGTGGGAATCTACTGCTGCTAAGCTTCTAGATGCTATGCTAATCCAAGTTAGCTAACAACCAAAGAGGCCTAGCGAGTCTCATAAAGCTACAGGACGATGCGTCTATCAAATCTCGGCCTTTTTACTCGGTCGCTCAATCATAACAGCTAACGAGGAGAATAAGGAAGAGTTCTGCATAAGTGAACAAAGGATGCTCATCCTAAAAGACCTTCTAATGCAACAGAGAGTGGCACCCTTCTGTTCATATAGAAAAGGATGAAAAATCAATCATTCCTTTGTGCATCCAAAATCATAACATTTCAACAAAAGAAATGCAGCAGGGGACTTTAGCCTTTTATGCGCCAAGACTGATTGGAGCCTCCTGCTGTTGTAGGACAGACTTAATTAGGATTAGCCTCTGTTTTATCGCATAGATAGATATTCAATGGAGATTGACATCTCGTGGTTAAATGTTAATGTGGGTTGAAAGCAATCTCTTCTGATTCAGTATATTCCCAAAGTGATTCCTTCTCATTTCGGAATAAAACATCATTTGAACGCAAAGGGCACATGTGGTCGCAGAGAGCCAATTCATCTTGTTGGCTTTCGTACATTTGCAGAGCGTGTTTGGAAGTATTTCGTTTCAGAGTAAGGTGATACAGAACTTGAATCAGTTGGCAAACAATTTCAATACAGTCACAGCTTTATGGGCTTAATTAAGAAGTAGTTCACCCAAAATGGTGAAAATTCTGCAGATATTTGGAAAAATATTGGTAGCCAAAGAGTTTTGGTTACCATTGACAATATGGAGAAACAAACATCGGAGACATTTCTCAAAATATCTTCTCATGTGTTTCACAGATGAAAGAAATTCATACATTTTGGAATAATATGAGGGTGAGTAAATTATTTCCTTTTTGGGTGCACAACCCCAGCACATTAAAGAAAGCTGAAGAATGCAAAGATTTATATACAAATTAGCTGAATACAACAGCCAATCCATCCAAATGCTTTCCTACACTATATTAAATGTATTTGCATGCAAACATCAACTCAAAACGTGAATTTTGCTTATTGCACAGTTGATTAATACTTACTAACATACTTGATTAAAATTAGCTAATGCAACAAAATGCTTGTTGCTATACATCACTGTGTGCAATCCATTTAAATTTGTAAAATATTTTATTTTATCCATTTGCATTTATCTTTTTTTTTTTTTTTTTATCCAGTTCCCAGCATGGATGGTTTGAGTACAAAAAAACGTAAGTAGCCTAATGCATTTGGGCTAATATGTGGTGAAAAATGATGTTTATGTATATAATATATTTTGGAATTAATTATTGTAGATGTTACCATGCAAAGCACATTTTTAGGTTCACTTTTTTAAGTGCAACTGCTAGTCGGCATTTAACTGCAACAGATTCAGTCTAGTCAGTATGACAGATCTAATTTTATTGGGTTTACTCAATAAATAAGATAATAATAAGATATAATAAATAATAAGATATTTGGGTAAAGTTTACTGATTATTTTAAGAAAATCCAACTGAATTAAGTTCAGCCAAACAACTTTTGTCTAGCTGTCCATCTGCATGCCAGAGATTGTGCGTTTGCCTTTAAATAGTTTGTATTCCAGTTATTTTATGGCCTTTCTCTATCTCTGTGTTTCAATGCACTGTAAAGAACTGTAAAGATAACTGGGAAATCTCTTCAGCAATTTTAGCATTAGGTTAATGGAGAACCAAAGTGGATAAATCACATCAGATTGTGGTGACATAATCATGCCAATAACCTAAGGAGTCTAAAAGAGTTGCCCTATCCAAAATGTACCTTTGAGCAACAAATTTCCCACAATGCCCCAGTGTGACTGTCCCTTTACATTCATTTTTTTGTATAAAATACAACATAACATCATTGGACAAACATTATTTCACGCCTCAAAATATCTGTGTTCACTGTTGCTCTTGTATTGCTTTGAATTAACTTTGCAGCAGTACAAAATATATTTACTTTACACCTAAACGTACCCCATTTTGTCCTATTTTCCCAACTTATGAGCCCATGGAGATCCCAGTCTCTAATCCTGAGACTCAGAACTCTTTTCTCAGGATTTAACCGAAACCTCTGTTGAATTTTAAACCGAATGAAAAGACTTTCAAAATAGTTAGCTAACAATTATCTCCTTTAGGTTGAGGTAAATGATTCTGCTGGGACGAATCATTCCAGACAGCTATTAAACCAGCCATGACATGGCGTCCATCCCCTCCAGACACGTTTGAGTCAGTCATACTAAGCCAAATGAACACCCACATCAGTTATAGAATCTGTGAACTGACATGACTTTAATTAACCTTTTAATAACAACACTATAACAAACACAAACTTTAAGCCTAATGATCATTTGTTTACTAGTCCAAGCAGCATCAACCGCATCGGCAACTTCGAAAGTACTTAAAAAAAACACATATTTTGGACAGATTGCACAGCACTCACCACTACAATAAAGCACTTCTGCATTCTCAAAGCCCAATGTGCTATAGGTTGGGTCCAGGCCCTCGCAGTAATTGGCTACATCCATGTCCAACAAGGATTTAGGAAGAGGAGATGGTGAAAACTTCATCCCTGCCTGGCTACCTCTACTTAAAGTCGTCCCGAGACAGTGTCTCTTGAAGAGAGAACTGAGGGCAGCCTTAGGTTGACCATCTCTTTAGAATGCTGATTTGTCGTCTTCTAAGACAAAGGAGGAGCCTTGGCCAAGACTCCTCACCTCCTTGAACAGAACTTATCTTCTCACCTTATCCTATACTTAGAAGGATGAAGAGATAACAGTATTCCCCATTTGTTCCAGAAAGGAACATGAAGGTTTTATTGGTGCAGCACAACCAACAAGTCCTATTCTCAGGCAAAATGTCACTCTTACAAAGTAATGCACTGTCCCAAAACCAAAAACTGGCAAAGACTGCAGCACCACCGAGCTTCCATTTGTAAACAAAGACTTCAAAATGAAGGGGAGATCTCAACTTCTGTTAAATCAGTGGAGTTCTCCAAGCTTGAGATATATTTAAAAGAAGATTTAAAAATGAGGTATATTAGCATTTCCTGGATTCTGTTGCAATGATCTAATCATAAACATCATTTACATTCATCTGACACAAATTCTGTTTTGCATGTTAACTTTGATATAAATTAGCTTGAGACACTGAAGAATTATTTGAATGTAATATTTTGAATCTATGAGTCATTGATGAGCCATTCTTCTTAAAGAGATAGTTCACCCAAAAATTTAATTTCTGTTATTTATTCACATTATTCTCATTCTTTCTAAACTTACACTATAAAAATGATTTTTCAAAGATGTGAATAACCCCCCCCCCCCCAAAAGTGTCTTTCTACTTCTAAATTTCACATTTAATTCAATGTGTCGCTTGCCATTTCTTTTTAATTAATTGTGAAATTTACTAGCAATTTCTTAGTGATCATTGTTTTGAAGTAAATCTTTCACCGATTTTTTGTGTATATTCTTTTTTTTCTGTGGAACAAAGAAGAAGAGATTTTTGAAAAATTAATCAAGTGATGTTTTTTTGTCCATGCATTTTGTGTTCCGCAGAATAAACAAACGCATACAGATTTGGAATGACATGAGGGTATCCTTTTAAGAGTTTTAAAAATAATAATAATAATTATTATTATTATTAAAAAATAAACACATTGCAGCATCATCAGGCCTGTACAATGCATGCGCAAACGCATAAAGGAAACAAAACAAATGTTGAAAAAAATTTCATCTCTGGCCTATAATTATTATTATTATTTTTTAAACATTCAACTTTAATAAAATACTTTGCTATTTGGCTTCTTTAAGAGTTAGAACTGTTGTTTTACAAGTAGGCTACTAGGTTTTTCTGTACATTAAATTGCCTTGTGGTGCAATTTAATCAACTATAGAAAGTCAAACAAATTAGCAACATTGCTGTACAAGTAGGTCATAACAAAAACAGAAAGACAACAAAATATTAAAATAATAATAACACATTTTTGAAGTACTCGAGGTTAGATTCGGTATGCACAGGGATACTATGTACGGGGATACACATCACACAAGTTACATTTTAACTTCACTCTAACAAACAATGTTTTAAATGAGGAAGTGCAAAAATGTTCACGTGATAAGAGTTTGGTGAGGCCATCTATTTTCAATCAGCTCCGATGCAGAGAGATGAATACTGTACATAAAATCATATTGCAAAATACTCTCCACATTACTAGTTGATCTGTCATACCCCTTCAACAGTTAAATAAATTCAAGGTCAAACTAGAATTGCTTGGAAGTAAAATATCACTCCAGGACTGTGAAAAACTCACAGTATCAAGGCAGTACATTCAGTTTTGTATAAAAGAGCCCTTTAATGTCACTTCTATAGGTTACAGGCAACTGAACTAATTACGATCTGACCTAAATTATATTAAGGCACATAATTAATGTAGAAGGCGACCTTTTAAAATATTAAATTAGCAAAGCAAATATAACTATGACTATGTAAAATACAAAATAAATATTCTACAACATTTTTCAGCAATATTGGATATAAAATATGAAATAGAATTTGAATTAGTATTCAAAATGAACGGGGTTTTTTTTTTACCGTCAAAATGTAGTAGCAAGGACTTGTTTAGACTACATAAAAGGTAGGAACAAACGTTTTAACGGATTTTTTTCTTTTCTTCTTTCTTTAACTTGCCCACAATTCAATGACCGCGACGTAAAACTCTCTGGTCTTACCTTCTCCACGTCCAACAACGATTTGCATTAATCCACCAAAACCCAAACGAACATGTGTCAAAATGTTATGCTAATAAATATGATATAGAGAGCAAATGAAGTGTTTAACATGTCAAAAGCCTCACATTGGACAATAGCCTACTTTTGGTGGAGTTGGGGGAGCCTCATTAGATCGATTTACTAAACAAACTGAAAGTTGGGAGGAGATGTTAAACAGTAACTAGCCCCAATAAAACACAACACATGGGTCGTTTCGCCTGTGCGTGGGTTCACGCCGTAAAGAACCCAGACAAACCAAGCCTAAAGACAAGAAGGAACACATCTGAATTTATCATATCAAAAATATGAAACCGATATTTTTGTCTTTTCAGAAAACAAGTAAAAAGCCTATTTATAAGCACTGGTTGAACCCTGATGGCACAACTCCTAGTTACAGAAATATTGTTTTACCTTTCAACTAGTCCACTTCAAATCCGGTCTTTGACGTTCTTCAATTGTATCAGAAGAGGGCGCCAAATCTCTATTTAATCTCTCTCAATAAGAGGTCGAACATCGGTTGGCCATTGTTTTATCACATAACTGAACATAAAACCATATTTAAAACTCACATATTTAAACAATCGAGTGGTTTCATTTTTGCATGAGTCTAAAATCGTCCCCAAATATGAAACTAACTGACGCTCTATCACGAGTTGTCGTGTCGCGAGTTATAGGCTAAATAATTTGAAAAACTTAGAGATATACTGTAATAGAGAACTAAAAAAATGTTTTTCATCATAACTCATTTTGCACTACATAGATGTTTATCCAGTTCAAATGCTCTGTAAAATAAGACTGCCACCGCATCCCAGCTCATAAAATATGTAAGACCTTTCGCAACTTCCCATAATGTTAAAAACCTCAATTTTTAACGTTTAAAAAAAAAACTTTTTCTTCTTCATTTTGTCACTAGAGAAAAAAAAAGTGAACGTTCCATTTTTATCATTATGGGAACGTTCTGGATTAGGCCTACTTTTGAAAGTTCCCTCAACGTCCTGAAACGTGTCGCCTAATAATATAAGTATAACGTTTAAAAAACATTCGAGGAAAAGAAAACCGATGTCGGCTATATTTTGAGAGCACAACATTGAATGAACATTCTATTATTGGAAGAACGTTTATTCATAAATTTGAGATACCCTTGCTTAAAGATTAACCAAAGTTCTGAGAAGGTAGGCCTTATTTCCACTGAGCTGCATTCAAGTTCGTTCAATTATATGTGTAAATATAATAGCTGTCAAAGGTTCGCTGTAAAATTAAACCTTAACATGTATTTTGCTTTTCTATCTCCAAAAAAAAAAATATCTAAACAAACGTCATTTCAAATCATTCGAAAGACTTGAATACCATGATAACCATCATCACTACAGTCATTATAAACACATAACTATCGAATGATAGCCTACTGTAGTCACACTGTTACTTTAATGTATAGGCTACCATGTATTTATCATGGTAGGCCTACTGGAATTTACATGATCAAAAACAAAACAAAACACAGGCCTGCTTTTTTTCTTCAAGAGCATTCAAACAATGTAAAAAGCTTTCAGAATCACAGCTACCACACTTCATATTTGCAGTAATTTCTATGGTATTTTGGCACAAAACGGCTAACATGGTATATATAGGCTACATTTTGCTAAGGCTGATGCTCATTACCTTCACCTTATAATTATAACACTTGTTTTCTGTTATAACGGTTTCCAGTTTTCATCTGCAGACCCTGATTTATGGGTAGTGATGCGGAAAATGGTGTCTAATGTTCAGTATTTATCCACTTTATTTATCCGGTAAGGCACACTTTATATATGTTCTTCCCAGTGAACGTCAGCATGTCGAAACACGTAAGCCCAGTGATGGCCAGAAACACTTCATTTATCTGATGAAGGTCTCCAATGTTGTTCAGGTATTGTAGCCTAAAAAGGTGGTATGGTGCCAGGCAGGTGAGCATGATGAGGACAAAGCTGAGGTTTTTTATTTGGACCCAAAACTCCTGCTGGGAGCGGCTGGCGGGGCCGTACTTGAGGATCATCGAGCGTAAGATGATCACCTGGATGCAGGTCTGAAGACACGACACCGTGATAATAAAGATGGATAGAACCATGTTCAGGGCGTAGACATAGTTATGTATTTCATCTCCAAATTTGAAGCACTGGTTTTCTGGTAGGCTTATGGTTTTCTGTCCGTATTGTATCAGCACGAGGGGCAGCATGATGATTAACAGGATGAACCACACCAGAGCGCTCGCGCCCAGCCCATGTAGCCTCCTGTAGAACTCAGTCCGCTGCGTTTTCTTGTAAAAATGCAGGAAACGAACCGTGAGTAGGATGGAGTAGATGGTAAACACCATGTATATGTGGATATGCACCATGGCGCTGACCAGTTTACAGAATCCCTGACCCAGCTGCCACGTTTGGGACACATAGTAGTAGATTCTGAACGGCACAGTGAGCAGGAAAAGAAAGTGTGCGACCATCAAGTTCAGGAAGGCAATGGTGGTTAACGAGCGAATGTTGGTTTTTAACAAGCTGATCATGACAGTTAAGCCTGTGATGCCAACCAGAAGGACTGCTGTGTAAATGATGATCAGGGCGACTCTGAAGGGCTCGGTGAAGTGTGCCTGGTCCGAGGGAGCTTCTGAACTTGGGCTGGTTGTCACTGCGGGGCTGGTGATATTGTCGACTGTGGTGTTCATCGCCATGGTTCCTAGTGATAAAACATACTGGAAGACAAATGTGAGAAAGTCATTGAATAGATGCAAAAGGTATCTGCTTTGTTTTGAATCATTATAACAGCATGTTTGTTTACATTGATTTTACTCACAAAGATCATTTTCAGCGATTTAACTCTGTATTATTCATGAGTAATTATTCAAAAAAAGTTTAGAAATCTAATCTTTTACTCACCCTCGTGTCATTCCAAACCCGTAGAACTTTCTTTCTGTGGAACATAAACTAACAAACGATGTTTTAAAGAATGTTGTTAACCAAAGAATGTTAGTTTCCACTGACTTCCACCGTATGAAGGCAAAAATACTTCAAATATGTTTGTTCCACAGAAAAATGAAGAGAAAAAAAAGTTTTACATGGTTGGAACGACATGAGGGTGAGTAAATATCGACGGAATTGTGTATACGGTAAGGTTCCATTTTTTAACATTAGTTACCTTTATCAGATAGCATGAACTATCAATGAAAAATACTTATAAACCATTTGTTAATAATGTTCATGTCAACATTGACTAATATTAATGAAATCAAAGTTGTTTCTGTTAATATTATGTAACTTACCTGAGCTAACATACACCAACAATGAACCGTTATATATTTATTACTTAAAGTTAACAAAGTTTAAATATAACAAATGTATTGCTCATTGTTAGTTCATGTGTTAATGCATTAACTAATGTAATCTTACTGTAAACAGCTACATAAGTTTGGAGTTTGAGTAGGTAACAGTTTTATTATAGTGTACTGTAGAAACAGACCAAATAAAAAGTCAATGTATAAGTAAATGTATTTTATAAATCCTCTTTGCACTCCTTTAAAGTTTAACTTGGAGTACTTTATGTATCTCTTTGTAGCTCTTTTGAAAGTGGCAAACAAGCCACAAACTACTGTATGTGTACATGTATGGTGGTTCTTTTCAGAAAATCAGATGAAAGCAAGACATTTCAACTATCTTTTACAATACAGTGCATTTAAAATGTTAAAATTAGTATTCAAAATGAACAGCCTTATGAGACAATGAAGCAAGACACTTACCCTCTGAACAGCAACACAGAAGTCGACAATGGCAGAGCAGATGAGGAAGTAGGGTAATGAATGTGTTTGTTGCATCTGTTCCTCACCCATTTAGAAACCACGATTTTAACACATTCTCTTGATGCAGCAGCCAGGCTGCTGTTTGTTTTTATGGTTCACACACACTGTTGCACATTTGACATTTCAGTTTAGGTGGCCAACCTCAAAAAAATGAGTCACATTGCCAAACAACCTCAAACAAACCTTGTGATTCAAGTTATGATAAAAAAATACTACAAGATCACAGTTATATGGATGAGTCTCAATGTATTGTTAAAATTCTGTTGGTAGACACTACGGGTATCATTAAAATCTTATAATAGTGCTCAGTACTAGTGTCTAGTCTTAAGCTGACAGGGTCTGTGGTTTTTGGTTTTCCACTGTGATCTTGTCACAGCTGCAGAGGGGGATGTGCTTAAGTTATTAATGGACATTGATGATGTGAATAACGAATGTGTTTCAGAACAGAGCATAATAACATTTACATATAAGCAAATATATATAAATAAAATGTTGGCATATAATGTTATACTTTGGAGGGAGTTGAAAATCCGTGTTGCCCAGCGACAGCCCAAAAACATTACTGCTCTAGAGGAGATCTGCATGGAGGAATGGGCCAAAATACCAGCAACAGTGTGTGAAAACCTTGTGAAGACTTACAGAAAACGTTTGACCTCTGTCATTGCCAACAAAGGGTATATAACAAAGTATTGAGATTAAATTTTGTTATTGACCAAATACTTATTTTCCACCATAATTTGCAAATAAATTCTTTAAAAATCCTACAATGTGATTTTCTGGATTTTTTTTCTCATTTTGTCTCTCATAGTTGAGGTATACCTATGATGAAAATTACAGGCCTCTCTCATCTTTTTAAGGGGGAGAACTTGCACAATTGGTGGCTGACTAAATACTTTTTTTCCCCACTGTATATAGTTTGGAGTCAATAATATTTTTTTAATGTTTCTGAAAGAAGTCGCTTATGCTCACCAAGGCTGCATTTATTTAAACCGTAATATTGTGAAATATTATTGATAACTCTAGAGTTATTACAAAATAACTTTTTTAATACATTTTAAAATGTAATTTATTCCTGTGAAGGTTTATTGTAAATAAATAATGATAACATATTTACAATATTAAAATACAGTGTTATAAAACTACACATTTACCATAATACCATCTGAGAATTAGATCCCCGTTAAAATCAGCTGACATAAGTACAGTAACATTCCTCACCTTTGGCATAAATCATACAGTACATATACAGAGACATAATCAAGTCCTTTCCCTTTAATCTACATCAGTCTTATGGCATTTTTTCCCCTTTAAGCACCAGCTCTAAAATACCTGTATGCCCACTGAATGTATTAACAGCAGATCTATTTTTTTATATTAGTTATACCATACAGAGTCTTCCTATTGTAAGATGCAGAGTCATAAATCTTAAGTAACAATGATGTTAAGAAATACCCATAAACAGGAAGACCCCACGCTTATTATCATTCATATTATTGTGCTACTGAATGCTTGTTTTTTGCACCTTGTAAACTTAAAGAGGTGGTCCTGGTACTAGGTTGTCACCTAAAGTGCATCTTTCATTTCCATCCAATGAGGATCCTCTTGGAGGTTAAGATGTGCGTCATGACGCTCAACAACATCAGGAAGATGGTCATGGACATCACGATTACATAGTGACTAATACTGCAACACAAAAGAAACATTTTATCATATTTGTGCAATATAGGCATTTACATATGTACAATGACAGACACAAACCAAATTGAGCTTGTGTTTCCCTATGGTTAACAGGATGGAAGCTAAAACAAGAAGTACAATACATTTAACCCACCTAGTGCCTATGTCAAGCCAGCTTCCATAATCCTTTACTAAGAAAAAGAAATGCTGGTGAAAAAAAAATAGAGATGAGTTAAGATGATTAATAAAACTGCAACTTTTATGCAATTTAATTTTGCCATTATTTGTCATGTTCTCTATGCTAAGCTTACCAGTACCATCAAGTCTGAGATGACAAGCACAATGAGGAAAAGGCTAGAAAATAAATGCAGATTTGATTGTAAACTTATGCAAAATAATGCCATAAAGCTATCTACATATACAAAAAATATTTTGTTCTGAGCAGAAACATATTCTTGTTGGACTTTGTGGTTTAAAAAAAAAAAGTTTTTAAATCAAGTACCCTAGATACCAAAGCCCAGTTGTCTGCAGTCAACAAGGAAGTGTCTGTGAAGGACTTGAGCCCAAATATAGCAAATGCTTGAAGAAGTGGTCAGTCTGCAGACAATGTGGGCAAAAAGAGAAAGACCTTTTGGTTTCCTGCTGTTCTAATTATTCTGCTATGTACCTTCTTGATGAGAGCTGTGTTGACACTTGAATGCTTTCGAAAGCGCACATCACAATTACAAATGGAATTAATACCTAAAAGAGGATGCAACAGTTAACGAAGCATAATAGGACAAATAGCTGTGGTGGATGTGGCACTAATTTAAAAAAAGAAAGTCAATATGAAACTTTATGTTGAGGAAGTGCTATACCTTAGGCCGCCCATGATGAAAGGATTGAAGATGGTCAGAAAGCAATAAACTGAGGCTGGATCAAAACTGTGAGGGAAGATAATTGATTTATTTAAGTTTATTTTATAGCACTGTTTTACTTCAAAATGAGCAGCTTACCTATTAATAGAGGCAATGTTACCGCAGCCGAAGAATGCAATTATAATGAAAAACACCTATTACAACAGTTAAGGAACTATATTATTTATATAATAGTATAAACATTTTTTTAATAATCAAAAGACACAAATAAAGGTTTATAGTCCAAAAGGATGCAAAGAAGTAAGATCTCCGAATGTCATCCAGCTTCAGCTGCCTGATCTTGGTAATGTCAATGTTTTCAGCAAAATCAATGCTGGAGAGCTGAGAAAACAGAAAATTGTACAATCAGTGGTCGGTCTACTCTTACTGTGATACATAAACTTTACACAATGCAATAAGCTTCAGCCATATTTTGAGACTATTTTAGAGGCTGAAGAAAAGCATGAAGAAGCCTAGAGGAGGAGGGGATGGTACCTCAGTCTGATTTGAACTCCCATGTGTGTTCATGGCTTCCTGCTCAATGTTGATCCATGCAAACACGAGCCACGATAGCACCGGAGGAAAAAAAGCCTCACACCTTTACAATTTACAAACCAAACAGCTATTAGAATAAGGGCTTTCATTTTAAAATATTAATTTAGAATCAATTATATTCAAATAACACAAAATTAAAATAGAATATCTTTAAAAAGTTATTTGCAATTGATTTGATTTATTAATTAGAACATCATGTCATTTGATTAATGTCTTTATAATATAGACTACGGTTCAAAAGTTTAGCGTTCAAATTAATGCAGTTTTTTTTTTACTTTCTATTCATCAAAGTAACCTGAAAAAAATGTATCATGGTTTCCACAAAAATATTAAGCAGCATAACTGTTTTTAGCCTTGATAATAAGAAGAAATGTTTATTGAGCACCAAATCAGATTTACGAGAAGACAAAAGTAATGGCTGCTGAAAATTCAGCTTTGCCATCACAGGAATACATTACATTTTAAAATGTATTCAAATAGAAATATTATTTTAAACTATAATAATATTTAATATTATTAACTATTTACTGCATTTTTGATCAAATAAAAATCTGCCCTTGGTGGGCATGTAAGACTTCCTTAAAAAATACCAGCCCCAAACATTTGAATAGTAGTGTATTATTTAATTAGATTATTAATTATTCATTATAATATTCTTTGTATAACTGAAACTGTCTCAAGCCAGTCAGTGGCTAAACTAAAAACATCTGCAACTTAACTGCTTACTGTAAGCACTATGTGGTTTGTTTTTGAATTCCATTTCCTTAGACAGGCAACCTCAAGAGGAGAATTTGACTAAAGCTAACATATGCTGAATTACTGTTAAACTTAGCACAGACACATAAAAATGAATGATTAGATTACGTTAGATTGATGGTCAGTGGCTTTTACCCTGTGCTCAGGAGGAGGTAGACACAAACTAAGGACATCAGGATACTCAGAAGTCTGTGAAAGAGCCTAGTGGAACTCAACAATGGTATCAAAAATGAGGAAACTAAAAAAACAAAGTGTGAGAGAATAGGGGATAAAGTATGAGCAGGACGGAAGAAAAGAAGAAGTGCAATTCACTGGTTAACAGTCATGCATCAAGGGTTCATCACACCATTTAGTCACCCTCATGTCATTTCAAATCTTTATGACTTTCTTTTTTCTGCACAAAAGAAAATATTTGGGGGTTTCAACTTCCAAAACAACACTGGACCCTTTTGACTTTCACTGTATGGAAAAAAGACATTCCTCTAAATATCTTCCTGAGTGTTCCACAGAAGACAGAAAATCATACAGATTTGGAATGACATGAGGGTGAGTAAACAATGGCAGAAGTGTAATTTTTGGGCAAACTATCCCTTTACAGTCTATATTGGTAACAGAGCATCATGGGAATGGAGATGGCAAACCTAGTGTGAGTCAGCTAACAAGCTGATTGAAGAGAGGCAAGCCTTGCTTCAGCTGCAGACTGGAGTGTGTGCTGGTCAGGGTGTAAGCACACAGCACCACCTGCATCATCTGGACATAAATGTACACAAATAAGATTCTCAGAGTAGTTTAAAGTAGGTTCAATTTAGATGTAATCCCGATTTAGCCCATATGGTAATTAATAAATAAATAAGTTGGCCAAAATATATTAAAAAATATATATAAATCAAATATAAACCAAAATATATTTCAAAATGTATTTTGGGGCAATACATTTCCAATCTCACAGTAGGCTACATTTAGGCTAAATGCAAGTGTGAAAGGAATAGCCTACTAAAGATCAAATCTTTTTTGATTTTGTATCTACTATTTCAAATATGTTCAAATAATTAGATTCTGAAATAGTTTACAGTAGGGTAACAGTGATGTGTCTTATGTACAACATTAAAAAAACAACTT